TCCACACGTAGGGTTTTATTCCCAGCATCCAAGCAGTGGGTCAGGACACCAAAGCTGAGCGGGGATGTTGAGGGAGGAGTGTAAGCGCCGTTCGGCTGGATCTGGAACGCGAGGCAGCCCCGTGTCCCCTCCCGGTGGGACGAGGCCAAAATGACGTCTGGCATCTCAGCAAATCCCGGGAACAAAGGCGGGGAGCTCGCTGCTTTTGTCCCTGCCTGCTCCGCTCAGGTTTGTTCCTCCCGCCGAATTTCGCGGCTTGGCAGGGAAAAAGGGACCGGCAGAGTTAGGGCTGCGGGGCAAGCGTAGCACAAAAAAGAGCGATTTTGGGTAAAAATCCCAGCCTGACCCACCAGAAACCCTCAGGGCTCGCCTTGCTCTAAACTGCGAGGCTGTCCCTGCTCTGTGGGAGTTTGCAGAGGGCATTTTCGGGCAGTCTCACATCGAGGAGGTTCCTCTTGACCCAGCAAAAATTGGGAAGCTGTGGCGTTCTGCCCCAGGATGCTGAGAGGGGTAAAAGCCCACAAAGCTTCCTCGTGGGTTTGCATGAATTCATGGAGGGGGGAAAAAAAAAAACAAAACAAAACCTCGCCAAAAATTCTAATCCACGCCTGTCCTGGCCCCGTGCTCCTCCAGCTGCTTCCACTCCTGGCTGCTGGGCCACGTGGATTTGGGGCTGCCTTGGAAAGGCGGTTTCCAGACCTTTGGAGGAAGTTTGTTCTTCCCGCCGTGGCTGTTCCGGTGTTTCCTGGGGATGAGGCTGTAAAGTCAGCTTTAAGCTGGTCCTTGGAGGACTTTGCTTGGCCTGGGGAGGCATCTGAGGTCATGATACGGAGCCGAGCTGCTGTGCTGCAGATGAACGGATTATTTCTCACTCCTGCATTAGGAGCTCTGTGGATTTAGCCATTTCTCCACTAGGACGCTGCTTTTATCCACCCCTCCGTCCCTCCCTCTGCACATCCCTCCATCCTCCCTCCACCCAGGAGCTCCTGGAGATGAACCCTGAGCCGCCAGACCTTGCTCCTTGTCCCAGGAGCCTGCATGCTCTGGGAAAGAACGGGCAAGGGTAGAGGGACCTGCTCCAAGGGACAGGGAGTTGGATGCTGGAGGCTGGGACAAAGCACGGGAAAACACCCAAGTGAGGCTTCTCTCCAGAAACCACTGGAGGAGCTGGTGGCAGAGGAGTGGACTGAGCACTTAGAGGGGTAATCTAGGGTGAAACATTCAGCACGGTCTGTCTTTATTCCCCTGTGCCCCTCTGCTCACCCCCATTGACCCTTTCCCGGGCTGTCACCCCTCCTGCAGCCCCGGCTTTCCCGGGGGGAAGGAATCCCATCAAATCCGCGATGCTCTTCTCCCTTACAGTTGATATCCAAATCTCAGGCTCCCCTGGGACTCACGGGCTGTTCAGCCCTAAACGATCCTGCAGTGCCTGGCCTCGTTGTCCAGTGAGGGGGATGCAAAGTCCCGGGAAGGGAGGAGAGGGGATGAAGGGGGGAAGGAGAGGGGCACAAGGACCCCCAAAGCTATTCCAGAAGCGGCCGCCGCAGTTCCGGCGCTCAGCGCAGCCTTCGGGCCGTTCCCGCATCCCAGAGGGGATGCCATTAATTATCCCAGCGGTCCCCAGGAACGGGGGCAGCCCTAATTACAGCCCCGGCCTGTTCACTTCGTTTGGGTTGGTGTCTCCACTTGTAACGCAGAAACAAAAGAACTAAGACGAGCGACGCCACCAGGAAGGAACGAGGAGGGAGGGAGGATCCGGAACGCTCCAGGAGTTGGGATGGTCTCTGCAAAGCGATTCTCCCCCTCTCGAGGTCGCCAGATTCGGCAGGAACCTCTGGCAAAAGCTGCTGCTCCAGGGTTTCGCTTTGCCTGGGTGAGGAAGGGCTAATTGGATGTAGATTAAAAGTCGCTCTTAGGGATAATCTGTGAGCGGCCGTGGAAGCGCGGGAAGGATCCCTGCGTTGGCTCTGGATGTGGATGAGGACTCCGCAGCTCTTCGTGTTCCACCAGAAAACAAACAAAAAACAAAAAACAAAAAACAAAACAAAAAAAAAAAAAAAGAAGGAAAAAAGATAGTTTGAAGCGCAAGATGAGCTGGGGGAAGGGAGATGGGATGGTGTGTGTGTTTGGGGTTGGGGGGAGCTGGGAAGAAATAATTGCCATGTCTGAAAACAGTTACTATGGCAGCAACAGTCTTCGTGCTGCCGGAGCGAAATGTTGGGGACCAGCGAGCGGTCCCTTTGTCACGTCCTCAGACACACATTTAGATGCTAATGCTGGCTTTAACCTTGGCTGCTTAACCTTGATAGGCTGGGAAGGGCGGGAGGTGGGGGAGAGAAGGCAAGGAAGGGGGGGGGGGAAGAGTATGGAAAAGATGGGTTTCCTCTCCCTAAATTTGCCACCGAATGGACTTGGCCGACTCCTCTCGGCTGCGATTAACACTGTTATTTCTGCGCTTAATATTCCGCGGAGGTCTTAACAGCTTATTTATGGGTAGCTGGCATTAGCTGCAGCATAATTCACCGCTGCGACGCTCCCATTTATCTCCATCCCCTTGGGATTGTCTCGGATGAGGCCGTTTTTGAGCACATCCCCAGGTTTGATCGGCCTGACTGTCTAATCTCGCTTTTTTTTTTTTTTTTTTTTTTTTATAACCGGAGGGGTGCAGAGGAGGGAAGTCTCCCCTTCGGACTTTTGGGGGGAGGAAGGGGCAGAAATTTTGGTGGCCTGTTTCGTTTTTCTTGAGGCTCAAAGCTGTCTCCAGCAGCGGGGATGAAGGAGGAGGGACAGGGGGGATTCCCTGGGTTGTGCTACCTGACACAACACCGAGGGCTGGAACAGCAACTCCTGCGCTCCCGGACCCGAGCGCGGGCTCCCAGCCCGAAGGTAAATACCTAAACCCCAGCCCTACGGCACGCAGATTAGCCACTAATTCTGGGAGCAGCCCGGGATGCCCTGGCTTTGGGATTATCCCTCACAGCCGCCTTTGAGAAAGCTTTTGCTGGAGGAATCCGGGCAGGAGAGATGAGAGCGGCGCCAGTGCCGCGTCTGCTGCTGGCACCGCTCGCAGAAACGACCCGATTCTTCTATTTCTGACATTTTTCCTCCCCTCTTTAGTGCTCCAGCTCCTGCAGTCGGGTCATCACCCGCAGCTTCCCCCGCTTGGAACCTCGTTGCTTTGGCGTGGCGGCGAAGCGAGACCTGAGCTCGCACCAGCCCGAAGATCAGTCGATCAGGGCAACCCCGCTGCACTGGAATATTTTCCTTTTCCAGCCCATCCAGCGCCCGTGCCTTGATTTTGGGATGGTGGTGCTGCTCACACGTGCCGAGGAGCTTTTTCTGTGCGTTGCCGGGGACGGAGCTCCCTGCGCTTTTCCCGCTGTCACCACATGGTGATGTCCCCCAAAACTGTGCCCAGTGTCACCTCCAGACACTGCCACAGGAGCTGCCTGTATTTTTTTAATGCTGGCACGTGCAGCCTTCTCTCCGTGCAAAGCCACAACACACGTTCTTGGGGTGAAGTGTGGATACGAGGAATGATCCCACTCCAGCCTGGCCAATCCTCACCGCACGCTGCAGGGGGGGAGAAGGCACCTGAAATGAAAAGCAGTATTTGCTTTCTGCAGTGCCCTTCTTTCTCTGAGCCGTTCTGGTTAAGCTGTCAGATACAGCTGATATTTATTTTCCAAATGCTGTAAGAGAGGGGATGGGTAACGCTGCAGGAACCCCCCTGCTGCTGCTTTTTGGCTCAGGAGCAAGGTCAGAAATAAATGCAGCAGCACTGGCACAGAGAAGCTGTGGCTGCCCCATCCCTGGAAGTGTTCCAGGCCAGGTTGGACGGGGTTTGGAGCAGCCTGGGCTAGTGGAAGGTGTCCCTGCCCACGGCAGGGGGTGAGACTGGGTCTGAAGTTGGAGGTAGGTCTTTAAGGGTCCCTTCCACTAGAAGCTGGGACAGCAACTCCACCACTCAGAGTGTGGTGGGCCCTGGGGGGCTGCCCAGACCCGCAGGGCTCTGAGGCTTTGGGGTGTGTTGGGGGCATTCACAACATTTACAAAACACGAGACACAAACCCCATTAACGGCAGTGATGGATTGACACCAGCCCTGGATCCAGCACAGGGTGGGTTTTCCCCTCGTGGCATCTCTGTGCTTTTGGAGCTTTTTGTCACGGCTGCAGGGGACACAGGTGCTGCATTTCCCAGCACTGCACCTCCCGGGAAAAGAGCATCGCCCTCCCGCATCCCGCTCCAATCACCACCGGCGCCAGCGGTGCCTGCAGGGCTGTGCCTGAACAATCCCCCCCCACACTTCCCTCAGCCTGGTGCAGCAGAAGGTCCCTCCTCGTGTCTCACGTGCAGTGAATAATCCTAGAATGCCAGAATCCCAGACTGGTTTGGGTGGGAAGGGACTTTGGAGTTCATCCAGCCCCACCCCTGCCACGGGCAGGGACTACCTTCCACCAGCCCAGGTTGCTCCAAACCCCGTCCAACCTGGCCTTGGACCCTTCCAGGGGTGGGGCAGCCACCCCGCGAACAACACCGTGGCTTGGCTACTATTTTTAGGGGGTTTTTTTCCTGCTTTCTGAGGCCGGCGATGATGCCGGGCATAGGGATAACCAAGCGCTCGGCACAGCAGGATGTCGCTGCCCGGGGCCCCTGAGGAGGAGCAGAAGTGGCAGCAGGAGGAGCAGTGCGGGCAGGGGCAGGTGAAGCGCGGGCAGGGGCGGTGCAGGCAGGAGGAGCAGTGCAGGCAGGAGGAGCAGTGCAGGCAGGGGCCGGTGAAGCGCGGGCAGGGGCGGTGCAGGCAGGACAGACACGGGCAGGACGGGAGGCGGGGCGGGAGGAAGGCGGCGGCGCGGCCCCTCCTCCTCCTCTTCCCCTTTCTCCTCCTCTCCCTCCTCCTCCCCTCTCTCCTCCGCCTCCTCCTGCCGGCCGGGCGGGGCGGGGGTCTCGGTGGCCGGGCTGTGCAGCCTCGTGGAGCCGAGCTGCGCCTTCCCCGCTCCCCGCCCTCCCTTCCCCGATCCCGGTCCCCGCCGCCCCAGCCGTGCCCCCGCCGCGGGCCGGCGGCGCGGGGATGGGCGCGGGGCTGTGAGCGGGGCGTGAGCCGTGGCCATGGGGAACATCTCCTCCAACATCTCCGCCTTCCAGTCCCTGCACATCGTCATGCTGGGCCTGGACTCGGCGGGCAAGACCACGGTGCTCTACCGGCTGAAGTTCAACGAGTTCGTCAACACCGTGCCCACCATCGGCTTCAACACCGAGAAGATCCGGCTGAGCAACGGGACGGCCAAGGGCATCAGCTGCCACTTCTGGGACGTGGGCGGGCAGGAGAAGCTGCGCCCGCTCTGGAAGTCCTACAGCCGCTGCACCGATGGCATCATCTACGTGGTGGACTCGGTGGACGTGGACCGCCTGGAGGAGGCCAAGACGGAGCTGCACAAGGTGACCAAGTTCGCGGAGAACCAGGGCACCCCGCTGCTCGTCATCGCCAACAAGCAGGACCTGCCCAAGTCGCTGCCGGTGGCCGAGATCGAGAAGCAGCTCGCCCTCCACGAGCTGACCCCTTCCACCACGTACCACATCCAGCCCGCCTGCGCCATCATCGGCGAGGGGCTCACGGAGGGCATGGACAAGCTCTACGAGATGATCCTCAAGCGCAGGAAGTCCCTCAAGCAGAAGAAGAAGCGGTAGAAGCCCCGCCGAGGCGGGGAGGGATGGGGGAGCAGACAAAGGAACCGAGGGGGAGACAGAACCAAAGCGATTCTTCTGGGGTTTAATTGTTATTTCCCCCGCCCCCCTTTATTTT